CACAACAAATACATGAATACAGACACGTCTTTATAGTAGCTAGATCGCGCAGCGCCCCTAAACTGCGATACCGCACGAGGTTTGACGTAACCAAGCGCATACGAAAATACAGATCCAGTCTTTACACGCTATTTTAATCTTCCTTAGCAACCAAAGCGTTAAAACAGATCGAATGATATGTAAGATGCGAAGTGATACGGTGAAATCAGAGGTTTGTAGTCAATAATTTCGAACTATATTCAATAACATTTCAAATGGCGATGCAACACAATACAATAGAGGAACGTTCAGCTGGCGAAAAGGAGAGATAAACATTCGTCTGATACTTAGCGGTTGAACACTACCTCGCAACTGGACCGGATAAAAACGTTTCAAAAACAACAGACGTTTTTCAGCCCCACTTTGGGTGTCTAACGTTACTTGAGAAAAAAAACTAATACGCAAAAAGCCAGGCTAAAATGTAGTTGAAGCCATATACGGAGACTTTATGGCGAACCTGCTTTAAGTAAATGTCATACAGCTATAACACCGCGCTTCCTCCTCCAAATAAATACATAATTTTAAAATAATGTCTTACCTTTTACCGAGTCCCTTCTGAGTGCATTGAAATGAGAGCTGCCGAGCTCCCTGCCATGAAACAAAAATGGCTCTCAAAGCTTCAGAGGGCGAGAGTTTCGGAGTGGCTGACTGGAAGAAGGGGCGGAGCTATCGCGAAAATAGCTAGCTAAGGTTAAAAATTGTTTATATTAAGTGTAAAAGAAGAATTTCATGTTGTTGTGGACGATAGTCCAGAAATATATATGTTATAGAGAAGGAAAAACGGACCATTCAATTATTAAACATTTAATGTATAATATTAATAGTAATACACTCAAGAATCGTCATAAATAACTTGGTATACATATAACAAATATATATGTATATATATGTTTAATAAAAATATATAACAAAAGGGTGATTACATTTCTACAGGATTTGCAGTTTAGCAGTGGGGGATGGGCGATCAAGAGCCCAACCCCCAAAAATGGGATTGAAGAACATGCTCAACAACAATGATGGGAATGTTGGAATGTACAACTTTGTACTAGAAAAAAATATAAAGGAACACCACTTGACGTTGAACTTCCAAACTCGTTTTTCACAGATTTCACAGAGGTGTGGCTGAATGACATCATGTTAGCATGGCGCATCTCAGAGAGGTGATGACAATTCACTTTTAAGGAAATAAAATGCATCAAACTTTCCACAATATACAATAATAAAACCTCTTTAACCAACATTTGTAGATACTTATGAGTAAAACATGACAAATTATCCTCAATTTTGATTACAAGACCTGCACACAAAACCCTAATAGCACACGTACATCACAGAGATGTCTATTTGACGTCTGCATTTACATCTGCAAGATGTATTTTTTAGTGTTTGCTCATCTGCAATACGTCTATAGGACGTTTCCTATCAGATGTCAAATAGACGTTTAGAAAATGTCTTTAAGATGTTTATGATTTAGAATGTATGTAAAACTGACATCTTAAAGATGTCTATCAGATGTTTGTACACAGCAGATGCTTTCCAGATAAAGCGATCTTTAGCAGACATCTTGCAGATGTATGTGTGCTGTCTGGGAATACTACCATTGCATTGCTTATCCTCAACAGTTTGGTTGCTAGGAGATGTTTTTTGATGATAATGAACTGCAATGCTAATGGCAGCATTGCTATGTTGTTTCCTTAAAGATATTGGAACGTCTTCGTAGCCAGACGTTGGACATTTCAAGATGGAATATCCCATAGCTTAGAATGAAATATCTGAGTTAAACATTTTCTTTACATACAGTTTATTCTGGTAACATTTGGGCTATCTTGTAGTGTGGTATTAGTCAAATCAATGTGCCTTTATCTAGCTCATGCAATACTGTTGCTAACTCCTAGTGGCTTTATTAGATAGATGATCATAGCGGCCATATATAGTGCTTTCTCCTAATTTTTTTCACTTGTTCACTTTGGTTTGGAGGGACATCCTCCCAGTCCTCCTGATGGCGGCCATTTTATGATTTGGTGGATGGGTCAATGAGAGTCAACAAATTATAACATGTTCTGCAGTGAAGAAAGCTTAAATAATATAAACAAATGAACAAAGAACACAAATGCACAAAAACACATTTTAAAAAATCTCATATATTACAGCATTTGTTGAACTTTAGTGAACATGATGTATCTCTAAAGAAGCATTAGCACCTTAGCATTAGCTATCTTTGCAGGCATGTGGTATAGTTGCAGCTAAACCATGGCGGTGTTAGCTTTGTTGCCAGCAAAAGGTGCCCAGCAATGGCAGAAAGACATCATTGGTGAGGTGCACAACATTTAGTAACTGAGTTATTCAAATCATGTGGTTTGTTGAGGTGATCTGTCAATTTTCTGTCTGATCTGTCAATTAATCTGACTTTAGCTTGGCCGAAAATGGACAAAAATCTGTTCAATTTGTATTGAATGGGGAACTCAAGCTTTATCCAGAGACCAGAATATCATAGAGCCTTGGTAGTGGGCTATTTTTACTGAGGTTAGTGAGCAACCACCTAGCAACCATCCAGAGCACCCTAGCAACTGCATAGTAATGTGCTAAAATCAACCACATTGCAATGTCATGGCACCCAGCCAAGCATAATACCGGTGACATTTACACGAGCAAACACCACTTACCTTTTCTTCAGAAAAGCAAACTGCTACAGCATATAGACACAATATATTAGACAACACCAAAATAGAACTAGCACACAAAAACTCACACATTACCGGTAGACACCACTTTTAGCCCTGTTGAAAAAACCAGCATATGCTGGTTAGGTATGTTTTGACGCTGGGAGGCAGCTGGTCCTTTGCTGGTTTATGCTGGTCCTTTACTGGTTTAAACTGGTCCTTTGCTGGTTTATGCTGGTTTAAGCTGGTCCTTTTGCTGGTTTATGCTGGTCATGTGCTGGCAAAGGACCAGCATAAACCAGCAAAAGGACCAGCATAAACCAGCAAAGGACCAGCTTAAACCAGCATCCCAGCATCCCAGCATCAAAACATACCTAACCAGCATATGCTGTTTTTTTCAACAGGTAGATTTGTAGTAGAACCACATATCCTGAGTAAATTATCAATAAAAACACAATGACAAATGCTAGCTAACAAAAATATGCTAAAGCTGTCAGTCCTAATAGGCCATGCTACTTATTCTAGTAATAGTGAATCTTGATGCTAGTGGCCATTGTACAAAGCTTTTTTATTATTAATGATATATCAGTGGAAACGTGGCTAATTAGAGGGTGTCTTACGAGCCAGTTACCAGCCTCTTTAGTGGTTAATTAACATAATTCATTTCACTACTGATACTGTATTTTTCAATGTTAAAACTGCATGCATAAATAGATTATTTAAACAAGTTTCCCTATTTATCATTGATCGGACAAACACCCCTCACCCCAAACTTACACCATTGGTTGAGATATTATTGCTGTGCAACACCACTCAAACAAACAGACTGAAATTTCAAGTGGCACAGAAATACACACTGCAGCTTTAAGTGCCATATTCACAAAAAAAGAAGCACGTTTATAGATTTTCATAAATTTAAGACTATGACTAACATATTAAACATCCATAATACATATATAAGATATGCTGTTTTCAGCATCTTGAATAAGATTTTAATATCAATCTCAACACAAAAGATGCTAAAAGCCACTCCCATCAAAACCCACCAACCCCCCAAAAAGATATAAATCAAGTCAGGTCACCTTTATTTATATAGCGCTTTTAACAATACAGATTGTGTCAAAGCAACTGTACAGCATTAATTAGGAAAATAGTGTGTCAATAATGCAAAGTGACAATAGTAAACACTCATTTTTTAGTTAAAGGCAGTTCATCATTGAATTCAGTGATGTCATCATCCAGCTCAGTTCAGTTTAAATAGTATCTGTGCAATCAAGTCAACGATATCGCTGGAAATGAAGTGTCCCCAACTAAGCAAGCCAGAGGCGACAGCTGCAAGGAACCAAAACTCCATCGGTGACAGAATAGAGAAAAAACCATGGGAGAAACCAGGCTCAGTCGGGGGGCCAGTTCTCCTCAGACGAAACCAGCAGTTTAATTCCAGGCTGCAGCAAAGTCACATTGTGCAGAGGACTCAACTGGCTCCTGTGGTCTTGTCCCGGTGGCCGTCTGAGACAAGGTCTTTACTGGGGAACATCTAGGTTATGATCAGTGATCATATCATTTACAAAAAGTGCTTTCGTAGAAAGGGACCTGATATTCAATAAGCCAAGCTTTATCATTTGTTTATCCATATTACATCTGTTTTTTATTTGTTGAACATAAATTAAATTATGTTTTTTGTATTTTCTAGTTCGGGGAACAGACACAGTCTCTATAGTGTGATATGTAGGTGAAAGAGTTTCTATGTGCTGAGAATTAACTGATTTCTGTGACATGAAGCGGCTAGCAGACGGTCGGTTTAGCCAGTCTGTCTGCTTCCTGACCTGGGCCCCAGTTAGTCAAGTACAAACTCTAAGACTATGTGCCATATTTCTACACAGAAGAGCTGCACCACCCCAGGAGGGATGAAGACCATCTCTTTTCAACAGGTCAGGTCTGCCCCAAAAACTCGTCCAATTGTCTATATAAGTAAATATATTTAGATAATCCAGTTATTATTTATTCAGGTTATTGCATTTGAAAGAGTGCCACCAAAAGTCACTTATAAATATTCCATTAGAATAATCAAATTAATTCCAATAATAAAACAAAAGGTTCTTCCAATGAAATGTTATACAAAGAAATCTACAGAAAAACACACAATGTATAATGAAAGTCTTGTTTTTAATGTGTAGGTCAAATTCATTACACACATGAATTAACTCTTTCAATTTCATCTGGGTTTTCAAACCATTTAATGGATGCTCTCAGCTTCAAAGACGCAAACCTGAGTCTTAAATGCATTTTGAGCCTAAAATGAATTTTAAATGGGACATTAACTCCAAAATTTGGTCTGGCCAGCTGATCATAAGAGGTATTGTTTTGCTCAAAGCTTTAGGCCACAAAACATATTGAGCAACATGCAAATTACATCATTTTTACATATCTCAAAGGGGGAAAATATTACTGAATCAATAATAGTGCAGATAGCACAGAATCATGCAAACCATTTACAGTTTATGGGCTCAATCACAAGACAAAATATCTGCACAAATACTATAAATACAACTGAATACTGTATATTTAACACTGATGCAATATATATAAAAGTTTCTGATTTAAAGGTTGCATAAATAGATTTGACAATCAAGAAAGAAATTCGAGTCAGTTTTTCCAAGTATATGCGGTATATAGTACTTATAGAAATTGTTCAGGTTCCTTTCACCCATAAACATCTGAAGTGGGTGAGAAGGCGCATAAAACACTATAGGACAAAATACATACAACAGAAAACATTTTAATTGTGTTCATTATTGGTTACCCTGAACCAGGATCTGCAGTGGAGATGTGGTGCATTCAAGTAATTTGGAATTACCTTAATTATAAGTTCACAGGTATTAAAAATCACTCACATCTTTGTTAAACTCGTAATTTCTCAAGTTGCTCTGAATATTACCAATAAATATGGTTAATATTCAGACATCAATGCAGCATCAATCAGTCCTCAACCTTCTGCGCAACTCTACAAAACGTCCAATGATGTTCTACTGTATTCTCATTGGCGCGTTCACTCATGTGATGCACCCGCATGTTGCGAATCGTGAAGCCTTGCTTGGAGATGTACTCTACCAGATGCACCCGAAGGGAAACCTCTTGGTGGTAGTCACATGGTCCAAAGGTAAAGGACATTTGAAAGTCTCTGGTGTCCATCATGTGTTTATTCCATCTGGTGAAGTTGTTGGAGATGCCTTCGAGTAGTGCATGAACTTTGGTGGTGACGGTGAGTTGGGTGATAATGACCGCCACCGGGTTTGAGTACTTGGACAGCTTACGAGTACTTGAAAGTTCTACCACTTGCTCAAAAGTGTCCAGTGGATAAAGGGGTTTGGTGTCTCCTAAACACTGGATCAGGGGCTCTATCTGATAGAAGTCTGCTTCCTTCCGAAGGAGCTCTGTTTCTTTGAAGTCACATGGTAGCGTCAGTTTCGAGGTTCGTAAAAAATTTAAGATGTAACGGAATAGAGGACCATCTCGATCTATAAAATAGTTGCCTTGGGCGTCTCGTGTGGTGGGAAAGTCACCACGAAACATGGCGCCCAACATAGAGTCTGGATAACGCTGGAGGGTGGAGAGTGACGTGGTGTACAAATGGCCGCCAACGTTTAGGGTAACCATATCCATCATCTACAACAAAGAAGAACATAAACATAACATTTTGTTCCTGCTGAGAATGTCAAGAAGGTACTTGTACTAATACAACAAACACTCAACCATTTCCTGCTATGAAGACCATTTTAGACCAAGATGAATTGCCATGCAGGTCCATTGATTTGGTGCTGTTCTAGTTGGTGAACCATCAAACCCATGCTGCTCTCCAGCAGAACTTCAACCGGCTTGGTTTTTCTAGTAAACTGGTTTACCAAAGAAGACTTGCTTGGGTCCATCCTTGTAAACAACATTTGCTGCTTTCAGCAGCATTGACAATACCCTTAGGAACATTGTTTTCTATGGGAAACTGAGCTTCAGGAAGTATGGATTGTATGGTTTAAACCACCACATGAAATGTTTTCAAATTCAACCCTGTTCTTCATAAAATCTTGGTCTCAGACAAAATGGACCACTGGGATAAGACAAAATGGCCAACCCTCCAGGCATTTTTCTTTTCCTTTTTGAGTCATTGGGGGTCCTGTTCTTAAGGTGGCAAGCATCTATTTAGTAATGCCCTAGAAACTACCCAGAACACCCTAGCAACTGCCCAACAACAGTTTAGCATCCAGCCTGACCAATATTTAGGGAAACTGTATCCATCATCTACAACCAAGAAGAACATAAATAGTTGATGTTCAAAGCATTAAAGATGCATTTTGTACCTGCTGAGAATGTCAAGATGGTACTTGTACTGATATGAAAGACCAGTTTTAGACCAACAAAAATCTCCATGTAGATCCATTCATTTGGTGCTGTTCTAGTTGATGGACCATCAAAACCAAGCTGTTCCCAGCAAAACTTCAACAAGCTTGGTTTTTCTAGCAAAGCTGGTTGACAATAGAAACCTTGACAACAACATTTGCTGCTTTGGCAATACCTTAAGGAATACAGGTTTCTATGGAAATTCTAGTATGGTAAACTGAGCATCACACCAGTAGTATGGTAAACACCACATGAGATGTTTTTGAATTCAACCACAAATGCTTACTCTCAGACAAAATGGACCACTTAAAGGTGCAGTATGTAATATTGACAGCAAGCGGTTGAAATAGTTACTGCAGTCCAAATTCAAAATATTGTCTAGAGTTGTTTCTCCCACCCCCTCCTCCTCAGACTCGACACTCACATGGGGTTGTCAAATTGAGGACACGGAACAGGAATGAGCCCAACTGACAATGGAAGGCGACAAGCCTCACACAGTAAGCTGATGAGATGATTTATCTGCATTTTAACATGCCTCTGGTCATAGGGATTTTTCGATGGATGCCAAGGCTTTTTATGTCAGGTAGAATCTGTGACCCAGTTTGTTTGCTGGCTTCCATGGCTGCAGTACACTGTGTTTTCCGCCAATTGGCAACCTGGGGTACTGAGATACTATTGGGTAAATTGACAGTGGACAGAATCACACTAAGTCTATGTTTACACTAGTGCATTTTCATTTTAAAATGCATAACCTTTGCTACGGTTACGCCTGTCGTTTACACTACCCCAGCGTTTTCGACCCTCGAAAATGGAGACTTTAGAAAATGCTGCAAACCCCATTTTATTTTGAGAACTCTGGGGTTTCGTTTCAGTGTAAACGGACCAAAACAGAGACTTTTGAAAAATGATGGCATCCACATTCACTCTGCATATCCTTGTCGACCGTGTAAACAATAACATCATGCTCATTGTTGTACCTGCATGAATGGTCATGTAACATTAGGGCTGGGACAATAAATCGATGCATCGCGATTTGTGGATCGATTCTGATATTTTTGGAATGCATCGGGATTCTCTCTCAAATCGATTTTGAGCTTAGTTTTTAACAGCAGATGGCGCTCTAGGCTAGTTTTTAACCGCACACTCAAATGCTCAGGAAGAAGAGTGCTTGTGTGTTTGGCTGAGTAATGTAAGTGGTTAAATGTACTTGCACATCGGCTTTTAAGCTTTTATGATGCGAGATTAATGTAAACAGCCCACTGTGAACATCCTTGTAATTCGCTTCAACCTTTTCGAACTTTATGAATGATTATTTTAGGTTCAAATGGTGCGTGTGCTAGGAACTGGAAGCAAGCAGAATACGGCTATTTCTAAAGCACGCAGTGCCATCTGCTGTTAAAAACTAAGCTCAGAATCGATTCAAGAGAGAATCGCAATGCCTTCGGAAAATCTCAGAATCGATGCAGAATCATTTCTTGATTCGTGATACATCGATTTATTGTCCCAGCCCTATGTGACGTGTTTTCGGTTGTGTAGTGTGGACGGAAAATGTTTCTGTAACGCAGTGAAAACACAAGTGTAGATGAGGATCATTTTCATTTTAAAACGCACTAGTGTAAACAGACATTCCGACACAAAACGCACATTTTAAAGTAGAATAACTGGCTATAGCATTGTTTTTCGGAGAAACAAGTATGTGAACTTAGCAGGTTTCCTATTTATCTGCAAATGTATTACGGTATTTTTATGCTTTAGTACATTAAAAAAATTACAATACAGCACCTTTAAAGGGGGTCGCACACCGGATGAGAAGCACAGCACCGCGCCACGTATAGAACAATAGGTATCACACCGGACGTGTCCAAAACAGTTAATCTAATCACCAAACAGGCAAAAGTTCACTTCAAGAGTGAACAAAATTGCGTCAATGAGTTTGAAGTATGGTGTTTGCCAAAACAGAGCAAACAGAAACAGAAAGGGCATTCTATGTTACAACAGCTCTCTGGCCACGTTCACACAGCAGCAGAATACGGTTGTCAGTCCTATATTTGAGTCCTTAATATGGTTATGTTCACACACAGTATGGTTATTTACGGGCGTGACAACCGCATTCTGTAACTGAACTCACACCTGTAAATTTTCAGGACTCACAACAGCATTCTCGGAAAACCCACACTGTGTGAATGGAACAGGACTGGACAACTAGTTGTCTGTCACGTCATACAGTGCAAGAGAGAGCCGCTCTGCTGCACAAACCCGTGTTTACCATGAGTTGCGTGTTTTCATGTGTGGCTTCAGTAACTTACAGTGACGAAGAAATGAGCTGTGTGTCATCTGAAAGTTTTAGATCCATCTCCACCGGAGCTGCTCCCGTCAGTTTTGTGTTCTGCTCGCGACTCATATGCTCCGCTCTCCACCCAAAATATAAAATCTGCTGTCAGTTAATGAAGGTTTGACAGATGAACTTGCGGCTCAATTGGACTCTTGTCGTGTCAGAAAGTGATAAGAACTTCAGTTTTATGGACATTGCCATCTTTTATTTTACTGGTCACTGTTGCTGTTGTTACTGGTAAGGAATACGGGCTTGACTCCCCTTGCACGTTCATACAGACAGTATTCAAGACGCTACTGTAAGTTGCTGTGTGAACGGGACATTTCGAGACTCACAACTCTAAATGCGGTTGTCAATCCCAAAAACTGACAGTGTGAACGTAGCCTCTATATAAAGTGTACAGACTTTATTCAAGCCACAGAAAGACAAACGTTTTGCTGAAAAATGCACAATTCACAATCTTACAGCCTAAGAAGAAGACATTATGTACATTAACAATCATTCTGGACAAATATAATGTGATTTTATGGAAAATTATGTAAGTGGCGTTCTGTGGCACAGCAGGATTTTGAACAATGTCCTGAGTCGTAGCTGGCCACCGCAGACAGATGCTGAATGGCTCCGCCAATGTGCGTACACTCATAAAAAACAATGTGTTTGAATTGTAAATTCAAAGCAACGGGGCGCTGCGCTTCTCGTCCGATGTGTGACCCCCTTAAGACAAAATGGCTGACCTTTCAAGCCGGTTTCATTTCCTCTTTGAGATATTGGAGGTCCTGTTTTTTAAAATGGTAAGCAACTGTTTAGTAACACCTTAGCAACTACCTAGAACACCCTAGCAACTTTAACAATGTCTTGAAAACTACCAACAACCTAGAAACCACATAAAACACTCTAGCTCCTGCATAGAAAGCATCCAAACTGTATATTAGCACTGGAATACGGATTCCCAAACTGATAATTTAAAAAAGGCAAAAAAACTATCAAAAAACAAATAAACAAACAAACAAATAAATAAAATTGTTTGTTCTAAATATTTTATTTGTTTGTTTTTGTAAACAAATATTTGCTTGTTTTGGTTAATGTGAACATTAACCAACATTAGATATCCACGAACAAGCAAATGTGTTGTTAAATAAAAATAAAATACATCACATTAAAGGGTTAGTTCACCCAAAAATGAAAATTAGCTTGTGTTTTACTTACCTTCGAAGCATCCTAGGTGTATATGACTTTCTTCTTTCAGACGAATCCAGTTGGAGTTATATTAAAAATTGTCCTGGCTATTCCAAGCTCTATCATTGCAGTCAGCGGGTGTTGCAGTTGAACAGTCCACAAGTCGTCAAATAAAGCTCGCGCATTCATAATAAAACGTGCCGCAGATGGCTCCGGGGGATGAATAAAGGCCCCCTGTAGCGAATCCATGAGTTTTTGTAAGAAAAATATCCATATTTCAAACATAATAAACACTTTTCTCTCACTTCCGTTATCTGTCATACGCGGATCCGTTCCGGCGGAAGGCATATGACGTATGCGCAGCACGCGCGCCTCTGAGATATGCTAGTCTCGCGAGTTTGTTTAATAGGAGCAAAGGAAGCAAAGTTTCCTAACTTTAGCAAAGGAAAACCAGTCTCCTCTTGGTTTATATCAAAATCCTCCAACATTTTTCTTTGCAAATCCTCAGTTTGTACTTCTAATTCGTGACCGGCGTTTTGTTTTGTTCTCTCTCTCCGCATTCGTCCCTAACCACGTAACGTCTTACGTCATCCGCCGGAACTGCTTCAGTGTATGACAGTCAGCGGAAGTGAGAGAAAAGTGTTTATTACGTTTGAAATATGGATATTTTTCTTACAAAAAATCATGGATTCGCTACAGGGGGCCTTTATTCATTCCCCGGAGCCGTCTGTGGCACGTTTTATTATGAATGCTTTATTTGACGACTTGTGGACTGTTCAACTGCAACACCCGCTGACTGCAATGATAGAGCTTGGAATAGCCAGGACAATTTTTAATATAACTCCAACTGGATTCGTCTGAAAGAAGAAAGTCATATACACCTAGGATGCTTCGAGGGTAAGTAAAACACAAGCTAATTTTCATTTTTGGGTGAACTAACCCTTTAATATTTTAGATCAAAAGGGTTGGCTGACAAAAATATTTTGGAATTCTTGCACTAGAATATCATAGAGACATGGTAGTTTGGTAGTTGACCACTGATTTATATAATGTTCTCTATTATAGATAATAATAGTGGAGTTGACTCTTTTTACATATCCTAGCAACCGCCTAGCAACACCTTAGCAACCACCTAAAACACCTTTTTTTTCTTTAAAAAAAAAAATCTTGCTTTCTGCACATTATTTCTGTTTTTGTACAGTAAACAATGCGGACACTGTTTTGGGTTAAGTGCCGCTGCTTTATTCTATCCGTTTATATTTACCATGTGTGTCCAGTCTCCATTCTCCATGTGGCCAATTGTTCCTCTTCAATGATGCGATGAATGACGCTCTCTGCAGCCTTTATGAGGTATAAACACTTCACCTGCAGTAAACTAAAGAAATATACAAAACACTTTACAGTTTAGACAGCATATTCAAGTGTAGTAGTGATGAATCACCATGGAAACATTTATCGTGAAACGAATGACGCATGTGAAGGGTTTCCCAGCAATTTTTGCAACGTCTCAAAAACAAAGAAGAAATGTAAAGGTAACTAGCTACGAAACGCAGCAATCTATCGATATTGAAGAAATTATTGATGATAATCAAAGATGCATGGTGTAGCACGCGCAAAACAAATGCGTAATCAACAGTCTATCGCATAATATGAATAAAAACCGATTACTTATATTACCTCGTTGCAAATACGTTTTCTTAGGAATCTTAGTCTCTCCTCCTCGTCCGATGGACTTCAGTTGTTTCCTCTTGTCCAAAGCATCAGCAATACGGAGGACAGGGGTTTAAACACGGATAGTTTGCTTTCCTCGGGGGGCTTTCATGATTTTTCCAAAATGTAAGAGCAATTTGAAAGCCTTATATTCTAAAGAGAATCGGTTGCTTGAGTAAAGGCTGTAAAATAGCTGTGATGTGGATTCACAGAGCAGGACAGATGAGGGACATCAGTGTGGGATGAGCGGAAATGACACACCCACGAAACAAGCCCCGCCCATTATGCAAATCTCCGCCCTGTCTGCCTTTGTAACGTGTTTATCCAAAACACTTAAATCAGCAGAACTTATACTATGATCCTGACAAGTGTAATGTACTATATGAGTATTTCTTTTGTCAGATTTCAAACAGAAAACAAACAGATTTCAACATTTTCTCTTTTTGTTAAAAATGTCTCTTTTATTTACATCTTTCTACTTTATTTCTGCTTTTTAAATGCCTTTTTAGAATACCTTTATTGTAATATTGTATATTCTGAAAAATCTATCGTGGTTACACTTTTAAGTTCTACATTATATTTGAGTAAAATAAACATAAAACATTACATTTCTGTGAAAATAATCATCAACTTATAAACAAATAACAACTATACCTCAACTGTGTCATAATTTCCACCATAAACACTGATTTCATATAAAACTGAAATCTAGGGGTGCTCCGATTGATCGGGCACCGATCATTATCGGCCGATAATCGCTTTGGGATGTTTGATCGGTGGTCTCTAAAAAGGCCGATCTCAAAAAACCGATCTCAAGCTGATGCACCGTCTCAGTCTCTGTCTGGCGCGGGTTAAATAACTATAATGCTGAAGGTGAGTTACAATTCATATTTCTTCATTAAATAACATAGAGTAATTTGAAAACTTTCTGTAAGACATAATTTCACAAACAGCGTGAGTGAATCACCGCGCCGATACCGAGTACCGATACCAATATTTTATTGCATTTGTACATTTTTTAAATATTGGGTACAGAAACCAAAAGAGTATGTATAATGTTAGTTGGTTAACTTAATTTATCAAACAGATACAGTCAAACCAAAATTTATTCAGACACCTTCAACATTTCTCACATTATCACAGTTTATT